CCCTATTAAACCCACTTTGAAGAGTTTAGACTACAGCTCATGTAGGTTTAGGGTTTCTCGTGTTTGGCATAACTGGACATGGACATGGAAGCTGGGTTCATGAAGGTGTTACGTAGCGCATGAATTCAGGAGCCTCAACACTAAGAATAGGCTTAGTGGTAGGTTATGTTAGAATTGTATACGGGTGGTTGGTGAAGAGCATTGGTAATCTTGGAGGGCTTCTGCAGTAGATGCGCATGGCTTACACATTGCTTCGGAGGCCTCAATTGTCAAACATAGTTGTTTAGAGTCAACTCTAGACTCTAAACTCTCAACCCTGAACTCGAAATGCTACACCTGGGACCAGCGTTTCCCCGCTGCTTTCGGCAGGGAAGAGGCGTGTGCAGAACCGAATCGACACCGAGGAGTTTATGGAAGAGGGATGACCTCCTAAGAATTCTACGGATTTGCACAAATTGTAAGGGGACTGTTGGGCCACTGTCATAGGGCTGTGCAAAGGACTATCTTGAGAAACTAGACCTCTGTAACTCGAATGCCTCAGGGAGCTAGGGGAAAGGCGTATACGTAGTACAGGGTCCCATGACCCATTCCGACAGCCCCCCGCAAAAAACCAAACAAAGAGTTTAGGGTTTATAAGGTTTAGGGGTTCACAGCCCCCCCTGAACCCTAAGTGACCTTAAACACTCTAAACTCGAAAACTCAACCTGAAACCCTAAGCAACCTTAAGCCCTCATTCCTAAGCCCTTCAAAGCGCTAAGCTCTAAAAACCTAAAACCCTAAACACTAAAATCTTAAACCCTTCAAAACCCTAAACTTTACATAAACCTTATATACCTCTTACATAACCCTAATATAAATCCCGCATACGCCCTAAACACCTGAGTAGCGCTTTTTTTGGTGGTTGAACCTAGTAAGATAATATTCCTTATATAAAATACTATACCCCAAAAGGAGGATAGAATCTTACTCTATATTGGGTCCCGTAATATCCCCAAATAAAACGCTACTCACCTGATTTTTTTTTCTGCCGAAGCAAAGCTCGGAGATCGAATCACCTGGCGGAGGCTTGGCTTGCTTAGAGGCTTCAGAAGCCTTGCTGGGTGTTTGCCATTCTTCATGCGGATACGCTTTAAAGGGGTTTATTATAGGGGTTATATAGTGGTATATAAGGTTCCTTGAATGGGTGTTATGATAGGGGTTATATAAGGGTATATAGGTTTTAGGGGTAAAATTTGTATTTCTACTGCTATACTTTGTGTGAGGTCATGCTCAGGCGAGTGGAGAATCAACATGGAAAGTGACATAAAAACCGACATGACAATTGGGGGGGTTAGGTATCTTAAGGCCAAAGGACTGTAAGGTTGTGGGGCTTCTTACTGGTGCAAAGGGGGAGAGGCGATGTGAATGTAACTGGGATATACAGCTTCACATATATATATATATATTTGCTGAATATCAAGGGATGGTTATAGGGGAATCTTCTCGGCGCTCCCGCTTGAGGGGCAAAAAGAAGCAAGCAGGCTCTAACAATCACATATGAGCTATGGTGTAAACTACTGGTATCCCCTGAAAAGCCTCTATAATACTCCTCTATATAACCCCACTTGAAGGAGCTTTTTACTATAGCTTATGTCAGGTGTTTCTCACAAATTTGCCGTTTGTGTGGATCCTCGGTTCTATACTTCATTCATCCCCTACAGCAGTTTATCACCCATCCCCTCATGCCCTGCTACGCAGGGAAGTACCCTAAAATGTGGGAAGTACTGTACAGTAGTACACTCAGGTCAGGATCTTTGGTATCAGCAGCCTGGATGATGTTGAGAGACCATGAGGGCAGGCGCATCTTTCCCGACATTGAGCTGGTCTGAAACGGCCAGGACGCCAAGATGGAGGCAGTCTCGAAATTAGGGGTCCCTTTTCCCGAAGCGTTCAGGAACCATAGGCCCTGAGCTCTAGCAGGGTTTAGGATTCACGCCCGCAATGCTAGTAGTCGGCATGCAAAATTCGTGGATCCCTGGTTTGGAGACGTTGCCAAGGAGGCAGAAGACCGTCACTGGAGAGTGAAGCGGCCCCGGGGGTCCTCACTACTTTAAGGATCCCTGGAGTGAGGTTTTAGGGTTTAGGGTTGTAGTATATTGGGTTAATATTGGGGGTTATATAGGGATAATGGAAAAGAAAATGGAAACTACTGTAGTATATTGGGTTAATATTGGGGGTTTTAGGGTTTAGGATTCAGGGGAGGTACTAGGTAGGCTTTAGGGTTTAGGCTTCAGGATTTAGGTGAGGTACTAGGTAGGCATACTACGACACAGTAGTGGTAGCTACGCTCGCAACTACGGGGGATATAGGTCATAACCTGGTTATAACTTGAGTGCCTTGCTACCCAGGCTAGGTTACTTCTTCCATCCTACTGAGCTACTGATGGACAAATGGAGATAATGGACAACAGAATGGAAACTACAATAGAGTATATTGGGGTTATATAGGGATAATGGACAAGAAAATGGATGTCTGTATTGCACAAAGGATGCAAAACCAACAGGTCATGCACGAAATTCAGCACCAGCAGAATGGCTTTGTATGATCCTGTTTAAAGCTGCCAGTCATCCATCTGTGGGTTCTCTGGCGAGTAAGGGTTTCCCAAAATCATGGGTGCCAGTCTAGGGGTCCCAACGACAAGGGATATAGTATTTTTGGGATCCTCTTCGTGGAAACTACCGGGTTCAGAACTACTGGGTCCCTTGAAGTGGAAGACCTTCGGCTACACACGTGACCCGGACTGTTCGCCGTTGACAGGCTCTGACGTTTGACGAAAGCCTGAATCACTTCTGTAGGCGGCTTATTGAAACTCAAAGCGAGGTTCACGCTATTGGGGTTACATTGGGGAATATTGGGATAATGGAAAATGAAATGGAAACTACTATTTTGGGTTTAGGGCTTAGGGTAACATAGTAGGGCTACATAAGGGGATGACATAGGGATACTTATAGGTTAGGTTGGGCCCACTGACTTTTAGTAAACGCCCTGGCTAATGGCAACTATTTAAGGATCCCCTTCACCACTATTACTGGGTAGGCGCCTAGCCCAGGTCTTAGGGATACGAATGGGATGGTTCGGGGGCTTATGACGTCATGAGTAGGATGCCGAGATTCAGGCTTCCGCGCTGCGCATGGGTGAGACCACGAGACACTAAAACCTCCACCCTAAGCCCTGATATGTTATAGGAACGCGGGGGTAAGCATATACACAGATATCATTGTGCAGAAGTGTTTTCATGCTCTGGGTAGTTCTTGGGGGTTGACCATGTACATATATATATATAGAAAAATGCATACGCAGACCCAATGTTGATGTCATCTGTCATTTAAGATCGATACGCTTCTGAATTGCATGGGCAATGTCCCTTTACGCTTCACCCTGCCCTAAACCTGTAGAATGCCACTGGCAACCACAACAACAGTACAAACACCGCCACCACCAATAACAAGAAAAGGGTAACAGCAATGAGAATAAACACAACGACAATAACAGCCGCAACGATTACAACAACAACAATAATGATAGTAGAATCAATAGCAATGATTTTAAACTGGTCGCAAGAACAGCAAGAGCAACAACAATAAACACATTACAAAGTAACGACACTGAAATGAACATGAGAATAACGACGTGACATGTACAATACAAATAACAAAAATGATACTCATAGTGATCATAATAGTCATAGTAAGAATAATAAGAAGAAGAATAAGCGCAGTAATACCGCACAACACTGGCAGTAGACATAACCAGTAGCCAAGACTACAGCAAGAACAACAATGCTAGCCTTGACCTCAAACACGGCATGATGAGAATCCACAATTTCCCTAAACCTTTAACCCAAACGTGGCAGGATGAGAGCTCACATAACAAAACTACACCCTAAAACCCACACCATGCGGGATGAGTACTCACAACAACCCTGAACCCTAAACCCTACACAACCCCATTAAAGTAGTTTCCATTTCCTTTTCCATTGTCCCGATGTAACCCAATACATACCCTAAACTCTAATCAGGCAGAACGGGAATTCACAAAAGCCCTAAACCCTACACCCTATATACCCCTATATAATCCAGTTTCCATTTCGTTTTCCGTTTTCTTTTCCAATTGATTCTCCACTATAAATTAAGCCCTAAAGCCTAACTCCCCCAATATATACCCCACTATACCATAGTAGTTTCCATTTGGTTTTCCATTATCCCCAAATAACCCCATGTACTTTATAGTTTCCATTTTCTTTTCCATTATCCTTATATATAACCCCAAGTATACTATATGAAGGAGGATGAGAACTCACACAATTACGCACCCAGAGGCGCTGGAGGGTTCCTCGATGCCAAGTCGTTCTTGGAACTCCAGCAGCTGCTCCTACGGGAGTTTAAGGTTCAGGCTTTAGGGGTTAAGCTGACGGGTATAGGGTTTAGGGTAGATATAGGTTTTAGGGTAAAAATCCTGTGTTCCGTTTTTAGGGAGCTAGGGTTTAAGGTTTTGGGATCCAGCTTTAGGGATTTAGAGTTTCGTTTTTTTTGGGATTTCGGATTGAAGGATTCGGGATCTAGCCTTTAGGTGTTTCGTTCTTTCGGGATTTGGGGTTCGGATTTTAGGAATTCAGGTTTGAAGGTCTATAAATGAGGCATTCAGGAGGGGCCAGAAAACAGACCGACTATTCAGGATATCCAAAGACGCACCATTTTTTGCCAACCTACCATTTCAACCCTTATCACGCGAAACCAATAGGTAACCCCAGTTTCAATTTCACTTGCAACTTTCTTTACCTTTCGATCTCCATTACTGGGGCAATGCTCGGAATTTCTGGATTGGGCGTGGGGCTCAATTGTTCAGACTTCTCTTAATTGGCTTGCCACCCTGTCCAGCAGGTCATGCTATGATGGCTCTCTACATTCAGGGCTCCATGTCCAGGGCTATGCGATGTGCTTATACACTTGTCCTTGGTGTGTTCACATACAGCTTGACATGTTCGCCTTCAGTTTCTCCGCAGGATGTACAATGGATCTGCGGTTCTGTACCTCAGCATCTTCTGAGTTCAGGATGTATTTACAATCTGAAGCAGCTCAGTGGTGAGCATGTTGAAGAGCTTGTGCCAGACTCCAACCCCTGGCCCAGGGCTCCAGATCCACATCCACACATAAAGACCCATGCTATGGATGCAGGCGTGAGCAAAGGCCCGCCTGGTTTCCATCAGCCATGCCAACACTATCGTCGCCTGACAACGGTGTGCAGAGTTGGCTTATTAGTCTAAAAGGCGCCTCAGTCTACGCGTATATATACATAAATGCAGGACACGATGTAGGTGCATTATTATATCTTCTATTTTGATTCTGCCAGGCCGCGGAGCGATTTACGCCGAGAGCGCAATGCACGAGGACACGCGAGGACTGTTCGGCGAAGGCAGCCTGGTTGGTCCATGTCTACGCAAAAATCTTAGGAAATTCCGAGGCAACGCAAGGAGTCCCCGATGTGCCTCCAAAAACTCTTTACACCGCCAGTATGCGCCCGAAGGGCGACACTCTGGGTTGATCTTCCTCGCTGCCTCGTCTGAGGTGCGATCATGTGGCTGACACTCTGATGGAACACTGTGAGCATGAGACCTCAAATTCCTCGGCTGTCTGCTCTGGTCCGAAGACGTTGTCCTTGGAAATGTCCCAAGCACATCACACAGCTCTTGGTTGTCGTATGGAGCAAAGGCAGGAAGCTTTTGGCATGATTGATTGTGCATATGAGCCATAGTCTTAAATCCTAGTATCCCCCTTTATAATCCCTACACTCCTCCCACATAGAATCCCCTACATATACCTCCTTCAAGGAGTTTCTAGAGAACTGTGATTCAGCAGGAGGTGGGGAAGTACCATAAGGGCCTAATTAATTTCCAATATCATGTTGAGGTCCATTTGAGGTACCATAGACCACAATAACTATGTAAGGCATATGGAACCATAATATTGGTAACTATGAAGGCCATAATATACTATCATGTACCATAATATACCATAACATACTAAAAATTACTATAACATTGGTAACTATTGAGGCCCCTATATGAGCTATAGTCTAAACTCCTGGTATCCCCCTTAATAGTAGTCCCCTATATAATCCCCTATATAACCCCTTTAATGAAGCCTCCAGGCATGGTAACAACCTCAGGACTTGGGCTCAGACTAAGCCGTCATCCGCCATCGGCACCTCGGTTTGGGGGTTTAGGGTTTAGGGGCTTAGGGCTTGGGTGTTTGGGGTCTAGGTGTTTAGGCGTTTAGATGTTTAGGGTTTAGGGCTTAGGTGTTTCGGGTCTAGGTGTTTAGGCGTTTAGATTTTTAGGGTTTAGGGCTTAGGTGTTTGGGGTTTAGGTGTTTAGGGTTTAGGGTTTAGGTGTTTAGGGTTTAGGTGTTTAGGTGTTTAGGGTTTAGGTGTTTAGGGTGTAGGTGCTTTGGATTGTTTAGGGTTTAGAGTAATAATTCCAGTTTCCATCTGATGTTCCATGTTCTTTTCCATTTGATTTTCAATTATCTCACTATAACCCCATAAGGTTGAGGGATGCGTAATGACACTAGGGTTGGCAGTGCGGTTGTTTAGCTAAATCTTCAACGATTCCTTGATCAAACTATGTCGGGCTCTCTGGGATCTGCACTGTTCCAGCTACCCACGGGATGCGTAAGCCCCTGAACCCTAAGCCCTTAAACCCTAAACCCCTAAGCCCTAAACCCCTAAACCCCTCTACCCTAAAACCCTAAACACCTAAACTCTAAACCCTAAGCCCCAGGCCCATTCCGCCACAACCTTCCCGTGGCGGCCAGGTGCCAATGCAAAAAGGTCTGAAACGTTGAGCACATGGGTGATTCCAAGGTGGTTCTCCTGCCAACATCTGGGTTATATAGGGCTGTATCGGGGTGTATAAGGTTATATATGGTTACACAAGGGTTAGATAGGGATAATGGACAAGAAAATGGAAGCTACTATTTAGGGGGTTTAGGGTAGTTCCCAAACAAAATAAGGGTCCCATTTTGGTACTCCGGAATATTAGGTGCCGCAATATCATCTATAACCAGAACAACGCATCTGTGCACAAGGGCTTCAAGGGATGCAGGCCGCACAGTTGCAGCAAATTTTGTAGGGCCTTCGCAAGGCCGCGCGCAGCGTTGGCGGCGCCCAAGTAAAGGGAACCAGGGATGATCTCCTGACACACAATACAACTTCTGCCCGGGGGCCTCCGTGAGTCGATGCGATGAATTTTTGGGATCTCGTTTTTCTCGACTGGTGTCCTACATAATGCCTGAGGATTTTGTTGGGAGGCTGTCATTGGCAGAATGATTTTTGGGATGTGAAATCATGGCAAAAGCTGGAACTTCTACACGAGGTTCCGTAATGGCAACGACCTAGGAGAGTTTGAAAGAGCACACCAGAAGCCACGGAAGGGACCCTTGGCTACAAACCCTAAACCCTAGAACCCTGAAACCCTAAACTACATAACCTCAGGCCCTGTGCCAACTCCGGTGCCCACAACAAGCTCTGGCAGTGCTTTGCTGATCCTGGCTGTTGGATGCGAGGGAATTTGTGGGGAAGTTCGGCTGCATTTTCTAGAAGGCGCTCTTAACCTCATATGATTGCTCAGAAACGACGCCGCAATTTGTGCTAGGTACTTCGCCGCACGCTTTGCCGGATAAGTTCGCGGCAAACTTTGTCATTAAACTGCGCCCTCAAACTTCGCGGCGAAACCTCTGGTACCACTGCGTAGCATTATAAAGTGGTCGGTACTTTGGCAGCACCTCTTTGCAACTTTGCGGAAACCTCGCTCAGCAAGGAATCGTCTGTAGCACACCCGCTTCTGCATGCAGCATCCGGCAACAGCGGAACAAACTGCAGCCTGAAAGCAAGGAGACCTTAAAAGCCTGCCCTTTTTGTTGCCTGCCTGGGGCCGCAATTCAAAAACTGAAATAACCGGCCTCATAACAGAATCCCCAAGCCCGATGTATCTACATGCCTAGCAGGTAGGATATACATGTATGACCTGCATTGCTACATCAATCGCCAACACGCCTGGCCTACGGCGTATACAGCTTTCTCTAATACAATATTTACTCATAGAAGTGGCCCTGGAGCCCCTTTGAAGATCCATTATCCGTGTATGTCCCCAATATACTATAATTGTCTCCATTTTCTTTTCCATGATCCCTATATAACCCCAGTATACTATAGCAGGTTCCAGTTTCTTTCCATTATCCCTATATAACCCCAATATACTATAGTAGTTTTTAAAGAGGACTAAGGCAACCCTCCACCCTAACCCCAAACCCGAAACCTAGAAGCCCTAAACCTTAAACCCCAAAACCCCTAAACCCTAAATAGTAGTTTCCATTTTCTTTTCCATTATCCCAATATAACCCCAATATACCTCCCTTTAAAGGGACCTAGGGTTTCCATTTTCTTTTCCATTATCCCAATATAACCCCAAGGGCATAGGGATCATGAAACTGATGCTGCCAAGGTTCCGAGACTTCGAGGTGAAGCTGTTTGGCTTGGATGGCTGCCTTCAGTAAATTAGGGTTTGGGTTTAGGATTTAGGACTTATGGTTAGGATTTAAGGTTTAGGGTGGTTAAGGTTTGGGTCTAGGGTTTAGGATCTAGAGTCTCAGGCTTGCGATTTTGGATTCACATTCGTAAAATGTGCGCACACGCATGAGGGGTCTAGGGTCCAGGAGTCTAGGGTTTGGGGCTTTGATAGCTGCCTCCAGAGTCAGCGCTACTCCCTTGTTACTGCTGTTTTGACTTTGTTGATGGCTCCAGTTCTTACTCCGATTGATTCCCTCCCTTGCGTCCCTTGCCGCTATACTGCCACTTTCATGGTTGGAAATACTGAATATTTTGGCCGGGCTTTCTCTTGTTCATGAAGTCTTCGGTTCAGTCCAGACTTAAAGGGATTCAGAGTTTCCCCTGAAGTTCTTCTTGTTCATCCTCTTGATGAAAACTTCTTTTGGCCCGCCTCCGCAGCAGCCAGGTGGCCGCAGGGCTCCACGCCGCGAGTCCGAAAGAAATTGATCATCATGGCTCCGCAGGTACTTGAAATATGTGGTGGAAGAGCGAGGATGCACCCCTCTCCCCCAAACCCACAGATCCGCACCCTCTGAAAATAGGTCTATCCAATGTAGTAGGGGTCACTTGTGACTTCGGAGGCCCTAGGCCCTAGGCTGACCTTGGCTAGCATGGCTGAGAATGTCTTAGGGCGGTTGTGTTGAGAGGTGTGCAGGTAAGAATCTGAAGGCTTATCATGATGAGCTGGCTGCAGTCTCCTTGGTCTGGACATCTCTTTGTATCAGCCCCGGCTGGAAGCAAAATGGTGCAGCATTCGTGCATTGATTGGTCTAGCTCAAGAAGGTGCATCCACGCGGAGAAGAAGTCTCAGAGCCCCCTTACAAGTGAGATCAAGGTAGGAGTCTCTGCAGAGTTTGTAGTGCTTCTTGACACGACCCCCATCTCACCCAGCAAAAAAGCAGACAGAGACCGGCGCCTTCTTGTCTTCTTGGGCTTCTTTACAACTGCGGCAGGCGCGAGCAATTGAAAGGCTCAGAAGCCAGCAAGATCTTGATGGTCAGACTATTAGACTTCTGGTGGGGGTTTCTCAAAACGGGGGTATCCGATAGGGACTAGGCTCCTGCAACGCAATGAGAGGAGGTCACAAAAGTCTCGCTTAAGGGTTTTGTAGTGATCATCTCGGAAAAATCCAAACAGCAGAGGGTTCGGCTCAAGCTGGGGGAAGTGGTTCTCCGAAATCGACGACTAAATTCAGGCGAGTAAGCCCAAAACAAACTGGGGGCTGGTCTTACTTTGCTCCGCCCCACACGCTCTTACAGAATACCAGCACTGACAACAGCACAACTACAAATTGCAGAGCTGATTCTCCGAAAGCGGGTACTAGTTGTAAGAACCCAATGGAAAACCAAGACAATGCGGCAATCATCACTTTCATCACGATAAAGATGATCCACGACAACCTGAACATCGGTTCACTTAACCTTGACCCGTAGATACACTGGCAGGTTCAAAAACATGTCTGTGCCGACCACTCAAAACACGCTTCATCATTCATTGAAATCCTGCTCATCAATCCCAAACTGTTCGACCAATTACGAAACACCAGGCTTGTCTTTAGCCCCAGACCCTCAAGCCAAGAACTCCCAGCTAGCTTTAGGGCCTCCGGAAGTCGACACAAGCGTGGCCTCCTCCTGGGGCCTGGGAAGTGCTTGGCCCCCAACTACTGCTGACATCAGGGGCTATTCAACAATCATAGGATTGATACGGTTCCATTTCTTACTGGGGGTTAGTAGGGAATAAGGGAATGCATATTTGGATTAGAAAGATACCTGCATGACTCAGGCTGCTTCTGAGAATATGGGTTTAGGGCTTAGGCATTTAAGGTTTTCGGATTAGGGCTTAGGTTTTAGGCTTTAGGGATTAGGGTTTAGGAGTTTGTGTTGCTCTGTTCTCCCTCAAAGAGCAGATCTCCACAGCCCAGCTGCAATCGGTGGAGCGCCCTAGGGATCCAAGTAGCCCAATGTAGGTGATATTTACAGACTTTAGGGCCCAATGTAGGTATCATTTGTATAAATAGATCCCTAAGATATGCCAAGTGTCCACGATTTGGATTTCATTGTCGCTGCTGTGATGATATTTGGGATACCAGGCGAAGCATTTTCAGCCTTGCACATTACCTGAGCAATGATGACCCGATGCCAAACATCCATCAATGCTGGACGTACCGTCCACCAAACTAAGCCCTGAAAAGGGCCCCTTTGTTTGAGAGGGGCTTATACGGGTTACATGCCGGGTTTGTGCGAGGGTAGGCAAAGGGTGCTAGAGAGCCAGCCAGGCACAGCTCAAAGACATCATGAAGAACGGGAAGCACCGGCAGTAGCAGCAGTCATACTACGAGGAGTAGCACTAGAACTAGTAGTTACTAGTAGTAGTACTAATACGTGTACTACTCGAATACAAGTAGCAGGAGCAGTAGCGGTAGCAGTACCAGTTCAGAGAAAGCAGCAGTGCTCCAAAGAGGAATCCCCGTCTACTTCCTATGTGGGTGGTCATCAGTAGAGCTCAGGTTAGGTAGCAAGAGCTGTATCCTTGAGCGCTTCTTAAAGCTTTGCAGCTTTGACCTAGTCGTATGATTGTGGAATCCTTCACGCTGCATGAGCACTCTGAAACTTAGGTCCTGATGTAGGTCACACCCAAGTTTTGGAGGCCGTCTATGTGCGACACTCTAATAAAAGGATTGTACTAGAAACCCCAAACAGCAAACCTCAAGACTATAGTTGGATTATGATAGGGATATTAGGACTCTGGTGGGTATATTCTGTTGTATTCCGACTATATTCTTGGCGTTGCCTGCTTGAGTCACCTTACAAACTTCTGGAAATCTCCTAGACTTTCCTGCCTAAACCCTTATACCCCAAATCTGTAGAGTCACTGTAGAGCATCTCAAAGAACAGAAGCCTACAACCACTACGACTCCATCCAGGGACTCCCAAGATTGGACCCCTGATTTTTGCAGGCCCCAATTTCAGAGAGCCCCCTTGTAGCCCCCAGAAGCCGAGGTGGCAGCGTCAGCCAGCGGGCTGGCTGAAAGGTCATGTACCCCTTTCGAAAAGTTTTGGCAGGGACCTGGCACTCCATGGGGCTCGGGGTTCCAGGGTTTACGTTTTGGATTGTAGTTTGGAGCTTAGTGTGGGGTTCCGAGTAACTGCGGTTAAGGCTTGGAGGCTTAGGGGTTTAGGGCTCAAGGTCGTCAATTTATGAATTTAAGTTTAGGGCGCAGGGTCCTTGGTGACCATTGGTGTACGGTTGAGGATTCAGGGCATAGGGTCTAGGTAAGCTTGCAGAAGTGGATCCCAGGCCTAAACATCCAGTTGCAACAGATAGCTGGAAAAGACCCTGGCTTCTGAGCTGTCAACAATGATCTCAAGTAGACGAAGGATGGGAAAGCAACTGATGATGATAATTACAACCTGTGCGAATCTGCTCTGCAGTCCGAACCAGGATTCCACTTCCAGCCAAATTCTACTATAGTAGTTGCCATTGTCTTTTCCATTCTCCCCATGTAATCCCAATATATAATATAGTAGATTCCATGTCCTTTTCCATTATCCTTATATAATCCTAGTACAGTACATTCGGCTGCCAGGAGCACAACTGTCGCGGCTGCCTCCTGCTTTCCAGGTAGCTGAAACGATTTCAGTAGCAAAACCTCAGGTGCGCGGAGCGCAGCTGCCTCTAACGTGGCCAACTATAGGGGGTTATATAGGGGTTATATAGGGATAGTGGAAAAGAAAATGGAAACTACTACAATGGGTTATATAGGGATTATACAGGGGTTATATTGGGGTTATATAATTAAGGGCTATATAGGGATAATGGAGAATAACATGGAAACTACTATAGTATATTGGGTCTACGTAGGGGATTATATAGGGGAGTACTATGGGAGTTGTTAAGGGGGATACTAGGTTGCCGGAATTCTCTGGACTGCTTCTTGATCTATGCTTGGACTTTATCCTGTTCTTCTGACAGAAAAATCTCATGCCTCATGAACGATGTGCACACTGGACGACATGGGCATTTCTCAGAAAAGCGATGGGACTCCCCACGACATGCCCTGACTTTCCCAAGCCAATCGATACCCTAAACCTTAAACCCTACGCCTTAAACCCTAAACCTCAAACCCTAAGCCCTAAACCCTAAACCTGAAACCCTAAACCTTAAACCCTAAGCCTTAAACCCTAAGCCTTCAACCCTAAACCTCAAACCCTAAGCCTTAAACCCTAAACCTGAAACCCTAAGCCTTAAACCCTAAACCTCAAACCCTAAGCCTCAAACCCTAAACCTGAAACCCTAAACCTTACAGCCCAGGACCCGGCATTGTCTGGGTCTGCTAATGGCCGCACGCCAACAGCAGGCTCCGAGTCGCCTTTGCCCTGGGTGAGCTGGGTTTAGGAAGTCTACTTCAAGGGCGAAACAGGGTATGTAGGAATTATATGGGGCTCTACGACATACTAGAGGGGTTATATATAGGGGCTAGAAAGGGATAATATAGGATTTAAGGATCTTACCCAACAGTCGCGAATCACATGGAAACAAAATGGTCAATGAAAAGGGCAACTGGGGGTTCAGGGGCTTGAGGATTTAGGCTTTGAGATTTAGGGTTGGAGGGAGGGTTCAGGGGTGCATGGCATCTTTAGGGGGTTTTGAGGCTTAGAGTTTGCAGTCTTTTGGGCTCAGGGGTTGGAGACTTCCAAGGCTTGGAAGGATTAGGACTTGGGCTTCGGAAGTGCTTGTTTATCAGGATGGCCGTTTCAACAATACTTTCATCGATATCGCATCGGTAACGTCATCGCACCGATGCTAAATCGCCAAAAGCAAATATTAAACTGTATCGACTGCTAACCACCATCCAGCCCCCCCTCCATCCAGCCCCGCCCCTGCAGCCAGCCCCACCCCTCCAGCCACCTCCGCCTCCCTTCACAGCCCCTCCATCCCC